GTGTGTGTGTGTGTGTGTGTGTGTGTGTGTGTGTGTGTGTGTGTGTGTGTGTAATGGTGTGTACATCAAGCATTGAAATTGCAAATGATCCATTTACTCTGCTGCCCAACACATGATGGACCGAGTTAAGCATCATGTTCAGACTCCCAGGTACCCTGAAAACCTCCCACGAACAAGCTAATTCTCTTTAGCCTCACCTGCTACTCCGTCTTTAAATTAAGACTAAATGGAAGACTTCATTGAGGCCTCATATCCGGATTCTGTGCTGTGAGCTCTTTCATGTTCCTAGGTTATGAGCCTGAGAATAATTCTTAGACCATATATCCTTGTCCTCAACACACATAGAGACTAACATATAGAAGAGTTAACACATTGGAAACTCCACACATCTCCTAACTCCAAACCCCCTGATTTTGCTCCATTGCCCTGTGGTTTCCAGTGTTCTGTCATTTAAGCGTTCAGTCCAAATACTGGTCTCAGATATGCTTGTTTTTACTGACTCACAACTATATCTGGTCTGAAATGGCCTGACCCCATCCTCAGTATTCATCTCTTCACATTCTGTCTGAGGCTTCACCTCCAAAAGGCTCAACCCTCAGTCTCTCATCAAGACACACAATTCTCTCCTCAATTCTTCAGTTTCCTTCCCTTCCTCTTTTCCTTCCTCCTTCCCTCCCTCCCCTTCTTTTCTTTTCTTCCTAATCCCTCACAGAATATATGACATCTGACCCTGTGCTATAGTTTCATTTCATTAGGTTAGTGACTACTTTCATTCATCCATGTATCTTCCTCAAAGCATCTAATAGGATACATGTGATTTAAACAATGAGTGTTCCATGAATGCCAAGTACTCATCATGTCTGAGACTTTAGTGGTAAGAGGTTGGGATCGTTTATAATGTTCAAAGTGGCTAGAAATGTAGGAAAAATAAATTTCCTCTCCTGAACTGTAGATAATAGTTTCATATCTTAAAGCAATGCATGGGTGTACACTAAAAAGTGTCGTGGTTCTCTTAAACACTATACACAACCCTATCACATTTTAATCTCATTGAAAAAAACACCAAGTACATTTAGTAAGCTACTTACTACCTTTTTTTTGAGGGAACATTTGCTGTCTTAAGTGATTTTTTTTTTCTGTTTAACACACCTTTAAGTAGAGAGGATGAGCCTATCTGCGGAGACTTGAGATGTCATGATAGGTTGGTACCCCTTGTGGGCCTTCTTCTCTGAGCAAAAGGAGAGAAAGGAATGGGGGGAAAGTTGTGGGAAGGTGAGACTGGGAGAAGAAAGGGCAGGGGTTGGGATCAGGCTGTAAAGTGATTAGATAGATAGATAGATAGATAGATAGATAGATAGATAGATAGATAGACAGACAGACAGATAGATAGACAGACCTCTGACCATAGTGATAAGAGCTATCAAGTGTTCCCAAGCACAGGAGGGTGTGAGGTACATTAGAAAGAGAAGTGAATGAAATGGCACTCTCTCCAAACAGATGCAAACGGCCTAAAGAGAAAGGAACAGAGAGACAGGGTGTCTGTGCACATACCTGGGGTGGATTAAAGTGGGAAGCCAGGGCTGTGTGGAGAGTTTCAGAGCTTCGGGACGGGGGGACACTGGAAACATCAGTGTTGACATGAGACATGAGCACACGTGGAGATCGTGTTTCAGCCACTTTCAGTTTCTCTTTGTGTTTTTTTCCATCTGTGCCAAAAGAAAAATCAACAAGAAACATATGTCCTGAGTTACCATGAGTTTGTGCTATAGATATTGATTAAATAACCCTGAAGCAGAAGGCAGAGACTCTAGTGGACAACTGTCTACTGTGATGATCTTATCAGTGGCAGAAGAGCAGATTACATAGTAGGGCAAAGAGACCCGAACAATGATGTCTTTTTCATGTGATCAGAGACTGCCTGAGTATAAGGCAGAGTGGTTAATTCTCATTTCAGTCATGTTCGGGGTCCAGCCTAAACTGAAGTGGGGACTGAGAACTGCGGGGGTGTGGTCTTTTCTATTCTTCCCAGGAGGCCAAACTCTGTAAGTCAGTACCTGTGAGTGCAGACTCCCAGGTTTTTCTAATGAGATCTTCCAGTATTTCTACCATATGGGTCCAGATGCCATCAAACACTTCTGCTGCCACTGCATCTCGGACACAGTCGTGAGGGGAAACGGGAGGAAGCCCGTGTCGGTGCCACTTCCTGCCACGGAGCGTTGGGCTTTGTCCAAGATGCTCATCTCCACTAAGGAAGAAACTCATTCGTATCACTAGAATAGCCAGGGTTAAGGTTGAAATAGTTGTCTGTGTGTATTTCTTTTAACTTCCTGTCTGTCTGTCTATCTATCATCTATCTTGTAAATATGTGTATATACATATATATCAATACATATAACATCCTCTTGTTAAACAGTCCATTGTTGTTTTTAAAATATACGGTTTTAATTTGTCAATTGTATGTCATCAGAACTGGGAAAAATAGAACAGATGAGAAAAAATGACTCTTAAATTCACTGATATTTTTTATTCTTTTTCTCTGAGTCGCTAGTTCTTTGTTTATGTTCTGATCTCTGTTATAACTCTAACTATCCGGGGGCCTAGTCTCTTCTATTTTTCATGTGTAAAGTTTACTTTCTCTCTATACATACATACATAGATACATATATATATATTACTGTCTATATGACATATATTGTGTGGACATGTGTGCCACAGCATGTGCATAGGAGTAGCAAGATAGCTTTTCAGGAGTAGGCCTTCTCACCAGCCCACATCCTTTGTTTATTTCTAAACACAGGCATTTAGTGCTATAACACCCCTTTTTGAGTTCCTGTTCTTGGGAGCCATCAACTTTGGTGTGAGGTATTCCCATCTCCAACTGTCTCGAGAAGGACTATTCAGGAGCATCTGCCTAATTTCTCTCTGGATGAATTCTCTTGATTTACTATTGATTTCTATTTTAATTCCACAGTGGCCAGAAAAGACGCTCCATGCGACAGACTTTCTAGGACTTCATTTGGTAGCTGGTTACTTTTTAATGTATTGCTTTTTAACCAGGAGTCAAAGTGTTATGATATATCACTGTTGTTTAAAAGAAAATACAAATTTAGCACCAAAATTAGAAGTTCCTCTTGGTCCCCAGGAAGCTAAGTATAGGGACCCTGGAGGCCCAAGGCATGAGGTGCCAACACCCTTGACCACTGTCACTAGTAGACCAAACCCTTGCTTTCTCTCTAGTACATTCTCAGGAAAAATGAAATGTCCTCATCTAGCATTTACACTTCCTATCAGGATCTAAAACCTTTGGAGTATCTCTCTCTCTCCCCTTCTCTCTCTTTCTCAAAAAAGGAACCTTTTATAAGTAACAAAGACCCAAAATAATAAAAGCATATGATGAGTTGATATTATGCTACAAAGTAGGCCAAATACAATTCAATTTACTCCTGTTTTCTGTCGAAAGCAAAATATTCCTCAACGTTTCCATCCACGTGGTACACCTCTTCTTTCAGGGATGAATACGGTGCAGGATCAGCTGACTCCGTGTCATCTGGGTCTGACAGGGCAGAGTCTGAGAGTACCTCGGGAACTATTTGAGAGCCAGAGATACACAACCTAGTAGCGAAAACATTCCACATGTGAGTTTGCAGCATAAAAGAACATCACACTTGCATGACGCTGAAAGACTTCTAACTTATCTATGTGGTACGATCTCTGAAACACCACCAAATATTACATTTGATAAAGCTCCTATCTTCTAAAAGCTTGTGTGCATGTGTACCTGCATGTGAATGCAGAAGCCAGAAGACAACTTTGGATGTTGGTTCAAGAGGTATCCACCCTGTATTTTGAGGCAGGTTCTCTTATTAATTATCCTGGAGCTTTTAGAGAAGAGTGGGCTGCCTGGCCAGTGAGCTCCAGGGATTTGCCTAGCTCCAAATCCCTAGCAGCAGAATTACAGGTACCTGCCACCAGCTTTCTTCTAAAACATTTAACCCCATAGATGGTTAAAAACTTTAAGGTTGTGCCTAGAGGCATGGCTCAGCAGCTAAGAGCACTCATAGGCTGCTATTCCAGAACACCCGGGTCAATTCCCAGCATCCCCATGGCAGCTCACAACTGTCTAGCAACTCCAGTTCCTGGGAATCTGACACCTTCACACACACACAAACACAGGCAAAACATCAATGTACATAAATCAGAATAAATAAACAGTAATGGTTTCTTAAGATCATGAAAAAATATATATAGCTACATCCTCCGTGCACTTAGGAAAGGATTTGACGATGGCACAGTCTCCCATATGCATGAGTGGCATTCAAAGGATTCATCACAACATCTTAGTGACTGAAAGACAGCTGCACAGAAAGAATTTTATTCTTTTCTACTAGTGCCTCGAGGCTGGAGCCATCACACAGTGAGGTGTTTGATTCTATCTTTTGGAGTCTTTGAAACATGCACTGACATAAATTCCCTGTGCTCAAGTGTTTATTGCATGTATGTTTCGAATGGGTGCATGCCCCAAACACATGTGTAACACAAAGCATCAGTCCAGGATCAGAGTATCTGGAGGAAAATATTGTGCCTCTCCCCCCATCTCCCCCAACCGCCAACCCCTGCTGAAATCCCCAGCATCCCCAGCATCGTGCAAATTAGTTAGAGCCAAGGCTCACTGAAGACTGAAGGACAGATACAATAAAGATAATATTTTTTGGTTTAAGTATTTTGAGACAGAGTCTCATGTACCCCAGGTTTGCCTCGAGCTTCTGGAAAGTAGCTGAGGATTACCCAATCCCTGTACTTGGACCTCCCAAGTGCCCAGGTTAGCACGTGTGCACTACCATGTAGCATTAGTAGCATGTGTACTACTAATAATTTTTTGTGCAAGCTACGTCTGCAGACTTACTCTCTGCTGCTGCCAGTGTGGTCAGGGACATGAGGTAAAGGCTTGTGGCTAGCAGAACTAGGCAGGCTCCCCTGGAAGTGTTGAAAACCTTCATCTGTTGGTGGGATGAGCTGCCTTCCTAACACCCTGCAAGGGAAGGAAAGCCGAGACACTGAGAAAAAATGGTTCACGACTTTAAACATAGGATACAATACTGGTTCTGAAGGACGCACAGGATGAGGTGTAGTTTGCACTGGGGGGCGGGGGGCAGAATGGCTTTATTCAATCTGGACAAAAAGTGTGAGCAGAAGTGTCCGGCTCCTCCACCACTTATGTTCATTGGTTGGTCAGGGTACAAATCAGAGTCATAGTTACCTTGTGGGAATGGTGCATGGCTTAGGGAGAATAGATGTGTGACCTGCATGTCTATTGCAGGCTTTCTCAACCGATAGGTCGCAACCCATCTGGTTGCATGCCAGATATTTACATGGTGATTCATTTCAGTATCACAATTACACCTGTGAAGTAGCAACAACATAATTTCACGGCTGGTTGTCACCGTGGCAGGGAAAACTATTATAGGGTAGCATGATTAGGAAAGTTGAGAACCACTAGGGCAAAGAAGCTCAGAGAAACTCACTGCAGATGGTGATTTGCATAGGCCCAGAGAATTAAAATTGTGGGGAATGTCGAGGTAAGCCTTTTGGAGGCCCACAGGAAAGGGCCAGTGACGCATCAGCGACTCTGGCGACTCCTCGAACGGTCCTGACCTACTGCACACTAGGGACTCCTAGCACACTAGTGAAGTCTCAAAATGGATCTGAGCTTAAGGCAGTGACTGCCTCCCCCTTCTTTACCTAAGTCTCCTAAGTTGACCTTGTTCCTCCACATCTCCCACATTTCCTCATCATCGCACCAACCTGATTGATTGTTAGTGGTGCTTGAAGCTAGCATGGGATGGTCTGATTGGCCTTTGAATCATTTAAAGGCTGTCACACTGGACAGCAAAGTTAGGTCTGCTCCTTCCAGTCTGGTCTCTGGAGTCTGATTCCCAGGATTCTGCGTGGGCTCCATCACCACTCACTGCCCTCTGTTCCTGATCCCCACAAAAAATACACAAACATACACACGTCTTATGGGATTTTCCTTTTTCTATCTTCTCTTCTTGGTTTTCAAATTAAAATGTAAGATGATGATGAGATAAACAAGCCTGAGCTTCTGGCATTTTGGGAAGTGTATCATGCCCAGAGAAGGGTACGCCCACAATCATTTACCCACTGCACATGTTGAATTTTTTAAGGGGCTTATGAAGAACTGTTTAAAACTGCCCAGGCAAGATCTCGTTGTTGTTGAGTATTTGGTTTTGTTGTTGTTGTTGTTTGTTTTTAAAGCACGGCTTCACGATATACCTCAGCTTGGCTTTCAACTACCCCCCCCCCCCCCTTTTCCCCCCCTAAATGCTAATACGTTTTTAAAGTTTCCTTGTCAAGCCAATGAGAAAAGCCGTGTATATTTATCTAGTGAACTAATTCATCCTCCTCAGCTCAGAACTCAAGAACACTACAATGGATTTTTTTCCCCCTAACCAGCAAGGCTTAGTGAAGAAGGCAAAGCTTCATTCTCACCATATTTTACATTTTCAATGCAGAGAATAATAAATGTCTCCTTTGATGTGGAGAAGAGTAGAAAGAGCGATAGGCTAGGGCCATCGAGCAAATGATCACTCAGCCTCTGCAGAGCACCACTACCTCCCCCACCTGCCATCCCCACTCCCCCAACACCCCAAGCTCATGCTCCCAGTGATGACAGATGCCTTCCCCTCACACAGAGTGAATGTGGAGATAAAGGGTCACTCCTCAGATTCTTGCATCTGCCGTGCCTATGACGACATTCTGAGAAGGACCTAGATTTGCTTCTGACAAGTTGAAAGGCAAGTGACACTGCCTTGTGTCAGGTTGTCCTTCGGACCTATTATAAAGGCTGTGACTTGTCAAGGAGGGCCTGAGCTCGAGATAAGCACTCCAGCTGGGTAACTGCTCTCAAATTTGTCGGCTGAATAAACGGAAATCAGTTGTGTGTAGATCGGAGCCCGTCCCAGAAGAGGTTTAGAGCCGTGTGCATACCTAAGATGGAGGGAACTTCTTGTCCACTCGCTGCATTCAGCCAGGAGATTCTGGGTCTGGGGACTCACTTTCCCTTCAAATAGCATTTCCTCAACCTCCCAAAACAGCTGCTGGACTTTCTGTGCATTGACTTTGTCAAATTCCTAAAACGGAAGTTTCAAATACCAAATTACATGCATATTCAAGTGCCCCTTATATACATATTCAAATACCCAATTACATACAATATTCAAATACCCCTTACATACAAATTCAAATACCCCATTACATATAATATTCAAATACCCCTTACATACATATTCAAATACCCCACTAGTCTATGCCCACATCGCCCTGATATACCTGATCTCACCACATAGAAACCTCACTAGAAGCTGTAGAACACAGGCTTCATAATAAATATTTACAAACTGAAGAGCACTAAAGGAGAAGGAGTAAGACAAGGTGGAATCATGGACTCTGTAGCCAGGTACTTGAGTGTACCAAATTTTACTTTTCTGGCCAATGACATCCTATATTAAGTCTCACATTCATTAGCTGTTAAATAAAAGTAAGGTTTACAACAGCAATTATGAGACTCAGTTGAGCTTCCTCATAGATACAGGTACGAATCTTTCCATAGCCATCATCTTGGTGGCTGGGGGTGGGGGAAAGACAAAGGAGACAAAGGATTTCCAAATCTTAAGGAAACCAGAACTATAGCTAAGTATGTCACCCATCTGAGAATTCCATAGTCACAAACTACAAAAAGTAGGGTTAAAGTTGATGGCCTTGTCTCAGATTAGAAGGTAAAAGTGAAATATCTGGCTTAGAATACTGGGGTTACAGGTAGGGGGGCCAGGATCCTCTAAATCATGGGTGTGTCTCACAGATTTTGCTTTTCTGAAACTTTCTCTTATTTGAGTTCTTAACTGTGGAGGCTTTATGTCAAGTTTCTAGGCACTGGATACTACTTAAAAGTCGTGTGCAGTATAAGTTTAGGCAGGGTTGTAAGGTGGGAAAAACATAAGAAAGCAATGCTTAAGGCAGGGGAGATAGCTCATCATGTAGAGTGAGGGCCTGCTCTGGATCTCTAGCATCCAAGTGAAAGCTGGGGTGTGGGACCGTGTACCTGGGAGATGGAGACAGGCTGCACTAACTCCAGGTTCAGTGAGAGGCTATGTCTCAAAAGGAAGGAGTGACAACGGAAGCTATTCAGAGTTGACCTGTGACCTCTGAATGGTGTCACGGTCAAGCGTATGTCCTCGCACACAAATAAAAGAGTGCCCCCCAGGGTTGTTGAAACTATCAAAAGACATACATCGTCTCTCCAAGAAGAAACTGAACTCCTCTCCGTAGAAAATCCCGTGGTGGAACTCTGCGTGGAAAAGCAAGACCATGAACTGTGGGCCTCCGTGGGGGTGCGGCTCCCACTGGACGAAAAGGATGAGGGGGAGTCACTGCAGGAAGGAACACAGGTGATGGACATCATGAGAGCTGGGGAGAGGGAGCATTCCCGACAGGCTTGGGTTCTCTGGGCCCGCTTCCTTGATTGTATTTGCGAAGCCCACTGTTAAGCAAACTGGCTTAATGATCAATTTGTAATGCATCATTTTTCTACTTGATCAAAAACCAAACGGTATTGCTGATTCATACCACCACCACCCCGCCCCGTACCCATGATGGGTCACCTGCAGCATTGAAAATGAGTGCTTCTCACCTGGCGTATTTATCAATGGCTTTCTGTACGTTTCTTGTAAAATTTGTAGGTAGAGGATCTCTGCTCTTGGCAGGGCTGTGCTTCCTGAGGCTTTCGGAAAGCCCCCTTCTGAAAAGAAAGGAAAACAGAGAGGTCAGACAAGGCTCTAATGGGATCACACAGGTGTCATTTACTGGTTTCTAATCCCCTCCTCTTCCCTTGCCACTGAGGCTTAGGAACTCCTTATTTCACTTTTTCTTAGAATCAAGGTTGTCAATAACCTACATGAATTTTTTTTTAAATAATGAAAATATAATAATTGTGACAAGGGCCAGAAAACACAGAGTTGCCCAGAATAGTTGACTGTGCTTCTGACATAGTTCTTTTGCCAAGGCCCAAGGCTTGGCAAGGGAGCACGGGCTGGGTTCATGTTGTTCTTTAAATGGGACACTTTGAACTTACATAACCCAGCAAGGAATGAGCCAGCCAGTGCTCGTTACTCCCATATCAGTTCTGAAACACACCAAGCTATTCCGAATAACTCAGAAACCATTCAAACATTTAATTTTACTACTGTGCACTCTGAGTTTTGAAGGGCTCTGAAATACTAAAATTTAGTGGAAAATTAAAATATCTCAAATCTAAGTAAACTATTAAACCAATGTGGCACAGTTCACGTTAATCATTAAAATGCCCTATCAACGAACCTTCTAAAACATTTACTTCCCCCTCATCAAAACATCTTCTGTGCCTTTAGCAGTAAACCACTTCTCTTTGGTAGTAGAAACCATAAGTTTCCACACAAATAAAACACATATTAACTTAAAATGAGGGAAGACGACTTTAACTTTCAGTATTTCAAATAATGACACTGCTCAATACACTTTAAAAAAAATAAAGGCTGGCTTTGCTTTTAATTAAAACGGTACCTAACTTTTAATATTTGTATTTTTAATATAACTGGGGATACCCCATCTTTACGTGGTGCCTACTTATCGTCTGCTATAACAAAGGGATTCTTTTAAAACTTAACACTATCTGAGGAGATTATCCAAGAATATCTGCCGTCCACTGATTGTTTGTGTGTGTGTGTGTGTGTGTGTGATCTACAATATTTAACAGAATTGTGTTATTTTCCATCCCTGATACTTATATGTCTTAAGAGTCTGAGGCAAAGGTGTTAAAGGGGGCAGAGAAAAGGACATAACATAGAGAAAGCATTTACATTTTTCTTTCTTTTCTTTCTTTTTTTTTTTTTCTGGTGTTGCTGGACTTGAACCCAGAGACTCTTTATATGAGGCAAATGTTGTGCTGCTGAGTCACATCCTCTGCCCAGCTACTATGCTAATAAACCACTTTCTGTTGGCAAGCACTGTTCAGCTGTTTCTAAGCCATCTTTAAACATCCTTTACATTGTGATTTAAGCTTTTAGGTAACCACAGAAATCCTTATAAACCAGCTTTTCAAAGGTCAACTGAATATTACATCAAATAGATGTGTTTTGAACAATAGGGACTATAATTTAGACGTGAGCTAACATGCCACCCAGATGAGGGATGGTTTGACAGAAGACTTCAGCATCTTTCCTTCTGACACCTTCTTCATACTGGACTTCATAGTTACTTCTCTTGCCTGGGTCTCAACACCCACGTCTGTAAACTGACAATACAACACTGATTGATGCCAAGACTCAGGCTTACAGAGCAGAGAGGAGTGGGCCCACCACAGGATGGAGGTACTAACAGGCTCGCTCTCTGGGGAGCATAAGGCTCTAACGTGGTGTGTTCAAAACAGTCTATTGCGGCTCTTTTGCTTCTCATGCTATGGTATTATTATGTTTTAGTCCTTAGGCTTCTCTCTTCTCCAGCCACTCTCTGACCTATTATTCCATGCTTAACTTTAAACATCTTAATCTTCTGTGAAAAGTCAACTCCTCCATATTCTACTCAGCCTATAAAAATATGCAAACTTACACGATGGATCCTATCCTGAAAGTATTCTAAAACTTATATCCAGTTTGATGCCTGTTAAGGTTATGCTACCTAATATGCAGACATTTTGATAGTTTTATGTTAGTTCTTCCTTTATGCTTAAATTTTGGAAATAGTAACAGTTTACTTGAGTTCACCTTTGAAACCAAGGTATATATTTCCTTAGGCTGGGTTGAATGGAGCCATAATGCACTATAACTTGCTGGCACATCGAAGTTAGGGTTAAATACTGATCTCCACGAGTTCCCCCACTTACTCTGTTTTTATTTTTAGTTGTGTTTTGTTTTGTTTTTAAGTGTTCTTATGATAACCTGCAAACCTCAGGGTCAAACTGTCCTGTAGAAGTTCAAGTGTTAAACAGTCTTCAAGCCTTCAAAACACCATTCCTCTGTTGGAAAGGAGTATTTGAAATTGGTAATGTCTCTAGATTAAAACGCAGGACATGCAAGTTTTCAGAGTTTGTGTTCTTTCTGCAGGACTGCGTGTTGAGCAAGGGCCTTATGCACACCAAAACCAACAAGGGTCTGTTTTTAGACTGTATAGCAAACACACCCCAGCGAGGCGGGGGTGGGGTGGGGGGCCTCCTTCGAAACATAAGATGCAAACCTAGTTCTCTGAACTGCTGGAGAAAGAAGCCTTCTGGTTGGCAGTAAATGCTTCTCTGAGCAAAGAAACGTCACTTGGGAAGGCCTGCTGATGTCAGCAAGCCACAATTTCATGAATGAATGCAGGAAGGAACACACAGAACACACAGACCAGATAGATCTCGCCTTTGCAGGCCGGGGTAAAAAAAAAAAAAAAAAAAAAAAAAAAGCCACGCACTTCTCACAAAACCAAGCCATGATCTAGAACTCATTGCATCCGACCTGGGGGAACTTACCCAATCACAATCAGCCCCAGGTTCTGGCTCTTGTCCCACAGGCCGGGCCCGGAGCTTGGAGGCCTGGGCAGCACGGTGCGGTGGCTCCCCGCGCCGGCCCCACGCGGGGCGAGAGCTGTTGCATGCCCCCGCGTTCCCGGGGCCTCGGCTCTGCGCCCGCCCAGCCCTGCGCCCCGAGGCCCTCTAGCGCCCCGCCCGCATCGGTGGGACGCCCGGGACCCGCGAACCCGCAGAGACGCAGCCGGCGTGGCTGGCGTGGCCCATGGGTGCGCCGGATCGCGGGGATCCAGGCACGGCCTCCTGGTCCAGACCCTCAGGTCTGGAGGAGGCTGGATGTCACCCCGAGGTCTCCCGACCCTCCGATCCCTCCTGCCTCCCGCCCGGACTGGACTTGGCAGAATCGTGGCCAGTACTCCCCGCCCCTTCCCGCCCTCTCCGGCTAGGACCTCCGGAAAAGCTGGCCACTGCTTCTGCAGATCACAGATTTCTTCACCCAGAGACCAGAGTTTTGGTGGCTTCCCTGGACTAACCCTACAGACTGCTCTAATATCTGGATTTCCCAAGCCCTGGTCCTTCCAGCCTCGCTTCTCCAGAACAGCATTTAGATTCCTGAGAGAGACGCAAAGAACTGTACAAGATTTCACATCCCTCCTCCTGGCAATCAATGAGATGACGGGTTTCAGGCGAGAAGGCAAGAGAGGTTTAAAATAACCCTGCCCCAGATCTAGTAAATGCAAGATCAATTATTCAATTAATTTGGAGCTTTAGGTCTGATGACACACAAGAGCAGCAAGCAAACATCCTCTCCTGCGCTGCAAACAGATGCCCAAAGTCGCACAAAACCTGCTGTTTTTCTGTAAACCAGAGAGCATCATTGATGTTTGACACATTGGTTTATTAATGAGTGTGTTTTCTTGCAAGTTTTTGAGATGTGGTCACTCTTTGTAGCCTAAATTGGTCAGAAACTCGCTATGTGGCCAGGGCTAGCCTCCAGCTTTAGCAATCTCGTTGCTTCTGTCTCTTAAGTGACCACTGGGAGTTACAATTTTGAGAGATCATTGTGTGTGTGTGTGTGTGTCCCAGATGCCTACTTTTGAGTATCAGTACATCACAGACTTACAGGACTGAAACCATGGTTCTAGACCCATCCTGCCACTCAGTGGTAAACTGCTTATCTAGAATATATAAGGCCACAAGTGCATTGTCCAATTGAAAAAAAAATCTAAATACTCTAAGGTTGAGGCCCCATGAGAATCCCCTCTCACATCACCCCCCCCCTTTATTCTCCCCCCCCCCCCGGAACATCAAGTTTCATCAGGACTTTGCACTTGCTCTCCCACTGAGGCCAGACAAGGCAGCCCACCTATGGGAAAGAGACAAAAGGCCCACCCTCCACTTCCTCTCTAGTTGTTAGTGGACCCACATGAAGACCAAGCTGCATATCTGCTACACATATGTACGGCGCCTAGGCCCAGCATGTACATGCTCTTCGGTTGGTGGTTCAGTCTCTGAGCAAGCCCGGGTTAGTTTACTCTGTAGGTCTTTTTGTTGTATCCTTGACCCCTCTGGCTCTCTCTATCCTTCCTTCCAGTCTTCCACAAAACTCCCAGAACTCAGACTATTGTTTGGCTGTGGGTCTCTTTGTCTGTATCCAGACAGAGGCTGCAGGGTGCAGCCTCTCAGAACACAGTTATAGCAGACAGCATAATCACAGAGTATTATTAATAGTGTCAGGGATTGGCTCTCTCCCATGGGATGGGTCTCCAGTAGGGACAGACATTGGTTGACCAGTCCCTCAATCTCTGATCCATCTTTATCAGCTCATTTCTTTTAGGGAGGACAAATTTGGAGTCAAATGTTTTGTGGGCCGGTTGGTCCCCCTCACTCCACTGGAAGTCCTGCCTGGCTACCGGGGATGGCAGTTTCAGACTCCGTGTTTTCCCTCCCCTGTTGTTAGGAGTCTCAGCTAAGGTCACCTCCATAGACTCCCAAGAGCTTCTCCCTTCCCAAAGAAGCCTCCTCCCCACCAATTTCCGTTCTCCCTCCCAGCCCTCTCCCCCTGAACCCTTTCCCCACACCTGATTCCCACCTCTGAGAAGCAACCCCCCCAAACCCCTTTTCATGTTAGCATGTACATCTTCAAAGAGCTACAGGCAACTAAGAAATGCTGAGAGTAGGAGAAATAGCCTTCCCCAGGGAATGGTTATCCAGTATCAAATCATCAGCCCTGAAATCACACACATGTAAGGAACATTATA